GTTATATATGCATTTTTGAATGCAGCGATAATCTCACTCATTTCTGTTTATATGCTGTGATGCTATTGGTTAGAAACTACCAGTATGATCGATTGACATGCACTGAATGGGATCCCTGGCTTGTAAATGTTCGCAAATCGCAAGTTTCTGCTTTTTGTGAGATCTTATTCAATTCATGTGTTATTCTCATCACGTATCACATCCATGATGTAACATGTAACCGTCATTTCTGTGTTGCCTATGAACTTGCAGTCGCAAGCTTTGTGTTGCCTACAAACTCACATTCATCATTTCTGTGTTGCCTATGAACTTGCAGTCACAGGCTTTGTGTTGCCTACAAACTCACATTCATCATTTCTGTGTTGCCTATGAACTTGCAGTCACAAGCTTTGTGTTGCCTACAAACTCACATTCATCATTTCTGTGTCATTGCAATAGTCATTTCCTGGCTGATTATGTCTTCCCTCACATGTACTGGATATTGCAACATATACATTCCTCATCATATTTTAACCATAACCATTTTATATGTAATAAAATTGATGGTAATGTACATGTAATCAATAATTAGAGGTTATTCATAATTAAAACCAAAGGTAACTTTGTATTGCGAGATGTGTTGACTCGCATGATTAGAGGTACTACGCATACATTGTATGATGGAAATATCTACAGAAAAATGAATTTAGTATTTAGTCGTATTTAATTTAAAGTGCCTGTGAAATGGCTGCTATTTTCACGCCTAAAATTATCAATTGATACATAAATATTTTTTATTTTTATGTTTCTAAGCATTAATTATTTTTTTTAAGTGAAAAAATGTGTTTTAAACCCAGTCTACGGCAACTTTATTTTTGTATATTTTAAAACGAGGCTCCTCATTAGCTTCTGATTTGCATACAGAAATTTCCCTTGTGACGTCAGAAGGGGAAGTCGCATGGCAGCTTGCATTGCCGATACGTGTAAATAAGGCAAATTTCTTGTGCAGTTTTCTCGTCTTTGACTATATTGTCACTTATGTACTTGTTCGTCGGAGGAAGAATGGATCATAATGAACACATAGTATCAATTTTTGTTGCATGGGGTTAAGTTAGATGCGAAATATGTCCGTTCTGGTGTAGCTGGTCACCGTGATCGTCACCGACACCGGCGCACGTTTGTACACTGTTGCTGGACAAAATAGAATTTGACGTCGGAATTATCTCGTTATTTAGCAGGTTACTAGGCATGTTACTACACTGTTTTATTTCATCGATCATCTGAGTAAAACTTTCAAATTAACATATTTTGACATTCTAAACAATAGACTATAGTGATCACTATAAAATAATTAAAAAAAACACAAATCACAGTTACTAAATAAATGACAGCTGCGTGGAAATAAATTGACATTTTGTTGAAATAGGTGAACGCGTCGGGTCACGGCGAGGGCAAGTGCGTTAAAAGCTGCGTTTAATTGGATGACAAAAATAATCGAGATCGACACACATACAGATAAATTCAGAGTGGATTCGAGTTAGCTTGATCCATGGCGTGATTGTCATAA